CAACTGCTAACCTATTCGGTATAAAAATCACATGGCTAATAACTTATAAAAAATTTATTTAAATTTTTATTTTTAAGTTGTGCAATATTTTTGTCCCCCCCCCCGGTACTTTAGATTGTAATTTAATAATTTATATTTAACATTTAAATTTATAAAACTTTATTTTTATTTAAATTGTAAATAAAATATAAACAAACTTTATATTATTAGATTATTGTAATCTTTACTTGAATGATAATTAATAATTTACTAAGGATCTTCAGTAATCATTAAAATCTTGTAATTATATCATATTATTAAAGAAATTTTATATTACCTCAGATTTGACAAAAAGAGAAATATTATTAATACTGATACACCTTTTTTTAATATTAGTTTTTTATTCTTAGCTATAATGCTAATAATTAAAATTATGGATTGTATTATATTTCTTATACTTATTGATTTTATAATAAATTAATCTAAAAAGTAAAAATATATTAAAATTTTTCTGTTTTTCAAATTATATCATACTTTTTAAAGTTTAGAAATTAATGTATAATTCATTAATAAAATTTATTTTTAATGATAGATTTTTCAGTAATATTTATATCATCATCTGATGAGTAAAATTGTATAGAAAAAGTAATAAATATTGAAAGAAATATTTTTTCATATTATATTTACATAAATAATTAGTTTTATTTTTATTTTTTTTACTTATTTAGCTCTAGCTATTTGTTTCCTTACCTTTTTCAGATGAGAAAGAAATAGAAATGACAATTTTTTAAGAGTAAAGAATTCTTTATCATGAATAAAAATATTATCTTTTATTAGTTATTAAATGATAACAGTCAAGGTTTTTAAGTTATTATCAATTTATATTTTAATTAAAATGATTATTATGATTTTTTGTTAGATTTTCAATAAAAAAAAAATGTAATTTAGATTTAAAAGGTGATTTTGATGATATTGTGAACTTAGTTTGAAGTTGAAATAATATTTTTGTAAAGTTTTCAGTTTTTTTATTTTTTAGTATTTTGAAAGTTAGGGTTTTTGATTGTATTTTGACTAGTCTTTTTAGAAATATTTTTATTATATGATTCAGATATTTTTCTGTAATTACTTTTTCTTTTTGTTATTGAAGACATTTTGGAAAAAAGATTGACAGAAAGAGTTTTATGTAATTTAAATCAGTAATTGTAGAAATGTATTGCTAATTTATATTGTATAAATTATTAAATTTTAAATTTTAATCACAAGTTTAAACATTATTAATTATTATTACACAGTCCATTAGGATTAGTGCGTATACCAATATTAATATAATGTCGATCAGCAAAAAAAAATATCAGATATGATTAAAAAAATATTAGTACATTAAATTTCACACAATCCTAATAGACCGTGTAATAATTGTATATTATTCAATAGGGCGTTAAAACATCGGTCTTTGACCAATATAGTCCTGTTCAATAACATACAATTATTGTTCTAAGTGTAAGTATAGGGCTGTCACTTTTACTACAAACTATGCATAAAATACCTGTTTGCACACATGATATAACAATTCAAAAATTGGGATAGATAACAATTAATAATAAACTTTTATCAATAAATATATTATAAAAATAAATATTTCATTGTATAATTAAATCAAATCAAATAAAAATAAATAAATTGTTATCGTTAATGTATTGGGGTAAATAAATGACAACATATCTTGAATTGAAGAAGCTTTCTCTTCAAAAATCTCGAGAATAAGAATTGAGTCTTTACTTTCGTTATCGTTTGTAATTTTAATTTACTCATTTGAATTAGGTGTTGCAAGAGTAAATAAATCGTTAAAAAAATTTGTAGCAAGCAGTGTTGGAATTGGACCTTGTCCAATTTCTAATAATGGACTAATGGACTTTGGACCTAATGGAGAGGTCCAGTCCATTTCCAATTCAAATGGATTATGTTTATATAATTTTGGCCAAATTATAATTTTATATCTATAATTCTGGCCAAATTAATAATGCTAGCCTAACTTAAAAATTTGAACGATAATAAAATCATTCTGCTTGAATGATCGATCGATAATAAATTCGTTCAGCTAGAATGATTCTACCGACCTGAACTTGATTTTTCAGGTGACAGTGAATTTGAAATTAATATTACGAACATTTTAAAATTTACCTCATTCCTGCTAGAGATCATAATTTTAAATGGAAACATCTAGATATTTATATTGAGATTTTGGGGGAACCTAATTATTTGTTATATTAAGTAATAATAAGTAAATTTAATAAAATTCTAACAAATATCATGAACATATTGCTAAAATTATATAGTTGTTGGATGAAGTCTATAGTCTAATAGTCCAAATTTTAATGGAATTGGAATGGACTAAGTCCATTAGTCCAATAGTCAAATGGTCCAAAAGTCCATTAGTTCAAAAGGCCAACACTTGTAGCAAGTGAAAGGAAAGGTTTATGTACAAGAAAATGGGTATCCTCGATAAGAATGATATTTTCATCTTCATAATAATGAATAGGATGATTTTCCGCCATCCTATAAATAGATGGAATGAATAATTAACTTTACCAATGATAATTTGGATGATTACGATTGTAAATGATAACGTGGGCAGTATTGGAAAATTACCTTAAAATGATCCCTACTCGCAATTACATTATAAATTATTATACTAAAATGATTTAAAAATGTTAACTTCGCGTGTGTGGGTTTTATTGAGATCTTTTTACATCATAGTTTATATTCAGTTATAATATTTGTTAATTACTAGGTTATAAGTTTCATTTATACCGCAATTATAATTAAATCCAATTAATTGTTTATTTTTAAAATGGAAAAATAAATTTTCTAATTATTATTATAAAACATCTGCCGTTAACTAATTAATACCGCTTTATAATCATTATAATAAAAGAGTGAATTCTAAAGTTTAAAAAAAATAAGACAACACAATTGTAATCCACCTTCCTTTGTATATATTCAATGACGTACTGAGTAATGTAAAGGGTTGTTATACTAATCTTCTAACTCAATAAAAGGATAGAAATTCATATCCAAACATTTTTTATTTGACCTTTCAAATTTTAAAAGATATTCTTGAAATTTTGTAAATACTTCAGCTTCAGTGGCATCAAAACAATAATAAATTAATTTACTATATACAATTGATGGTTTGGGTGTAGGATAAACAAATATACTTTTCATACCAACATTCCCATGTCTCAATCGCATAGAAAATTTATCTAATGCAGCATGATAGAGATAACGGTTATGAACCAACTTTTCTCGTGCTCCTTTTGGAATTTGAATAAATTCACTATCACTTTCATATTTGAGAAAATAATCTAAAATAAGCTTAGACGCTTCTTTAAAAGGGATTGGTAAGCGATACTGATATGCAAGTCTAAAAGAGGTAAGAATATTCTCAATTAAGTTGTTTTGAAGAAATAAGTCACAAGAATTTGTAAGTTTTTTAATTATGAATTTATCAGCTATTCGAAACAAATTTTCAACATTTTCCCAACTTATATCCAATATTGTATTAGGATAAATAAATGAAAGCATATCTTGAAATGAAGAGACATTCTCTTCAATAATCTCGAGAACAAGATTTGAGCCTTCTCTTTCATTAGCGTTTGTAATTTTCTCATTTGAATTAGGTGTTGCAAGAGTAAATAAATCGTTAAAAAATTCCGAAGCAAGTGAAAGGAAAGGTTTATGTACAAGAAAATGTGTATTCTCGACTTTAAGGATGATATCTCCATTTGCATAATAATGGATAGGATGTTTTTCCGCCATCTTACTATGAATAAAAAATTTTTTTTGACAGTTTAATATATGGATAATTAGACAATCAACTGTGTTAATATTGTTTCCCAATAAGGTAAAGCTTTACCAATGATGGTATCGTGGGTAGCGTTGGCAAATTACCGATCTCAATGACATCACTTTTATTAAATATTTTTTATTATAAATTATCAAAATGACCAAGGTCATTTAAAAAATTGTAATGGCCTGACCTTCATCAATGCACACGGTTGGGTTTTATTACCAATAATAACGAGATATTTACATAAGTTAAATTGTCTGTAAAAATTGATTTATAACAAATGGCTTCAATATTTCATACTGGGACTTTCTAAAAGATTTTTCAATAATTTTAAAGGATTCCGATGATTTCAACGTACTCCATTAAAACTTCGAACCGTGCCAGCGACAATTTTCTTGGCTTTTTCGATATCATCCGTGTTTAGATAAGGTAATTTTTCTTCGGCGATTTTTTGGATTTCTTATTATTCAAGTTTGAGAAAAGGAATTTGGGCACATTCAGAGCACGTTCTCCATATTTTAAAAGTGACTTTTTCGTCTAATTGGATTGTAAAAAAGAATGATAAGCCTAACATCACTCAAATTTTTTTTGATTTTAAAATAAATTGTATTTTCAAATCCACAAAATTTAATTTTTTTTTTGTTTGGATTTAAAATTAAAAATTAAAAATTTCTTAATTTTAAAAATATAATTATACAGGTGAAATTAATTTGACGATCAATTGGGTGAAGTTATTCTTGGACTACTAATTGCATCTGATGAACTATTTCTTGACGAATTTTTTCAACATGTTCAAGATTACTTGATTGAAAAATATAACGGTTGGATTCAACAAAATTATGTCCTCGTTATTCATGCCGTATTTAAACTTGCTTGTTGTAAGAAATTGCATGATTATTGTCTTAAATCAATCTGCGCTGACACACAACCTTTTATCACTTCGAAAGATTTTCCATCGCTTGATAAAGATATGTGTTTTGGCTTACTTAAAGGGATGATTTACAAGTTCAAGAAATTGTTGTTTTAGATAATTTGATCAAATGGGGTATTGAGCAGACTCTTGGGCTGAAAATCAAGGATCATGATTTAGCTAAATGGAGTCAAGAAAATTTTAAAAAACTAAAGAAACGTTAAAACAATTCATACTCCTTATTCGGTTTGTGGGTATTTCTCGTGTTGATTTTTTGATAAGGTCCGTCCTTATAAAGCAATTATTTCTCATCAAATTTATGTAAAGCTTGATGAATTTTTTTATAAAGGTACCATATCAAAATCAACTGCTTTACCACCTCGCGCAGGAAACTGAAACCAACTGTAATCGATTCAAAACTAGCAACTATTATAGTTAATTGTATTGATAAAATGATTCAGCTGTTTATCTAATAATAATTATATATTACAAAATTTTAATATATTGTGTAACAGAAAAGGACCATTTATAGTATTGGTAAGTTCCGTCAAAAAAATCTATGGGGTTATAATCCAATTGGATATGCATCAAGAAATGGTCAATGGTTATCTTCTTCAGGCAGATTTGTCTTTTCTTTTAAAATGATCAAAATATAAATAATATGAAAATGGAAGATCAAAGAATACATATAAACATGATGATGTTACAATCTTTAATTTTGGAGGCCATTTATATAATAACGGATAAACTTTTTTCCTTAGTATTATGACAATATATTTAATATAAATTATGATCAAGCTGTTTCTTTTACCTGTTAAAGAAATTGAAGTCTTAGTATTAGAAATAATTCAAAAAATTCGAATATTTTATATGAAAGTTTGCTTTTTTTTTAATTAAGAATAATTTGGACTATAATTTAAAATATTTGATATTTGGATGGTATTTTTTTTTATTTTTTTACTTCAATGTTTATGTGTTTAACTTTTATTCTTTACTCAATAAATTAAATGATTAATTTATATAGCAAAAATAAACTGAATGGATAAACAAACTAATAACAAATAATTAATAATAATAAATTAGTATAATGTAACAATTAGTAAGTAGGATAATAATCTGAATATGCATCTAAATCAATTTTAATTCTGAATATATATTTTAATAATCTGTTTAAAGTTTAGAATTATATTCCAAGAACTTTTATAATTATGATTCCAATTGATATTTATAAATACTATCCTAGCATATATATCATGTAATTAATATAAATAGTTTATTGAAATTTATATAAAAATAAAAATCTTTATAACTTATAAATTATACAATTATAATTTAAATTTAACCAGCTATTCAAATGCAACTAACAAATAGATAAGTATGTCTATTTCCTTAATGATAAATTATAATTCTTTGTATTTTATTCATCTTTAAGACAATTTTAGCATGTATAACTAACCATTACTAAAATGATTCTTACCTTAGAACCTTTTGAATCAATTCAATAATAATCCTAATCCTAATCTTTAATCCCTAATCTCTAATCTCTAATCCCTAATCTTAATCCTAATTCCTAATTCTTAATTCTTAATTCTAACCAGATTCTAATTCCTAATCCTTAATTATTAATCTAATCTTTATATTTCTAATCCCTAATCCCTAATATAATCTTAACACTAACCTCTAATCTGATATGTTAACATTTAAATACAAACTAATACATACCACTATATTGTCAAGATATTTATTCTGTATACTTGCACAAAGCTGATTTATTTCTATAAGCTAACAGAACCAAAATGTGCATAATTCTATGATTATAAATTATTTCAGTACATAATTTGGGTATCCGGACGTTTCGCCGAATCCGTTTCGCCGAAACCCACTTTGCCGAAGCTAATTCACCGAAAGGACTCTTCGCCGAACGACCACTTCGCCGAATGGACTTTTCACCGAAATACCATTTCGCCGAAATGCGTTTTGCCGAATCCTTTTCGCCGAACGGACACATCGCCGAATCCGTTTCACCGAAAGGACATTTCGCCGAAAATGACTACTGCGTAACATTTGTTTAACTAATCATTTTTAGGTTCTACATTATAAAGTTAGTTTTTTCTTAATAATTTCGTTGGAAATAATAAAAAAAGTTCAATAAATCTGGAAAATTGCTAACAACCAACAGCGAATTATTTTCGTTTTCGACGAAATTTCTTTTCGGTGAAAAGTCCATTCGGCGAAGTGACCGTTCGGCAAGATGTCCTTTCGGTGAATTGGCTTCGGCAAAGGGGGTTTCGGCGGAACGGGTTTCGGCGAAACGTACCGTAACCCATAATTTGAAAGTCTACTCAATAGTTATATTAAGTATAATCAGTTTCTATTGACTTTTTTAGATGAATCTTAAGTTTCTTACAAATATCACTGATATTAAGCTGACTGAATTCGCAAAGTATACGATGAACTAATACAATGGAGAGAATTAACAAAAAAAAGTTATTAATTACATTATATAAATGACGAAAAGAACCCGTTCCAATATTAATTTATTTATTTATTTAAAGTAGTGATACTGTTACTGTCAATTATTTGCGTTTATATAAACAATTAAGATGTAGCAGAAATTTAATTAAACAATTTTGAAGTAAAGATTATTCTATAAATAGATTTTATCAAACGTTGCCTTCCAAAAATTCCGTTTTCTTAAATCATTTATCACGATCTTAAATCAGTTTTTGGATTTCCTGCATGATCAAAAAAAAATAATAATAATAATTAACATGAAAAAAAATTATATTTCATTTTAAAATAATTGCTTATTTAATCGAAAAGATTTATAAATATTGTAGAGTCAAATTATTTGACTTGGTCGGTCGTAATTAAATGACTTGAAACCTGCTTTAGCTTGGTTCATGTGATCGAACGATTTTATTGTGCTAACTGAGTTCTGCGAATTACACATATTTTTATGACTTCATTTATCAATCATAGCTAGAGCTTATCTTGTGATTACGGGTAAAAGTTATCATAATTATCATAATTATACATTAAAATTATTTTATTTATTAATGAGATGTGTAGCGAGTCTGATCAAGTGCAACCGAAAAATTTACTTTGAATATTTTTTTAAGTTAATTACATACTCATATCGAATTGTTTATTTCAATATTAAAAAAAAATATATATATCTTCGAAATGGATTTTACAAACTAGGATTTGGAATTTGAAATTTCTTTATTAATATTTACTTGTCACAAATTTTTAAAATTGTTAATTATCAAAGGAATAGCGGAAGAAATGTATTGAAGTGAGACTTAAGTTAAAAGAAACTTTATAATACCTAAGTTCATGTATAATTAATTAAATTCATAAAATTATAACAAATAACAAATATACTAAATAAAACAATAATATAAGTTTGCCAAACTAATTGGTGTGATAAATTCCGTATATTATTGACTAAAAAAGCATGAAAAATTATTATTGAATTTATCTGAGCAACCTAGGCTATTTATAAAAAATTTAAACCGAGGGCCGAGTAAAGTGGGATAAATTTCTATGCAAGGAAAAAAGTTTTAGCCCCATCCGAAACAAAAATGGTTTTAAAGAATAGTTTAGAAAAAAACCCTAAAAGACTTGGAAACAATAATTAAGGAATTAGAGCAAAGTAACGAAGGATTACGTTCAGAATTCAAATATTTAGAAAAAAAGGTCAGCGAGCGGGAAGAAACCAAAGTCAATATTAATAATTTAGAAGTTAAGATAAGCGTACGAGAAGAAATGTCCGAAGAAAAGCAAGAAATTAATGAATTAGAAAACAGAATCAGAAGTCTTGAATTAATTTTTTATGATGATACAATTGATAGTTTAACTATTACAAATAATAAGGATAACATATTGAACATCTTGGGCGGATTGCAAAGATATCGTAAATTGACAAAACTCAAATGTAATCGTTCTCAAATAACCAGTTTACCAACATTACCTAACTCCTTAATGGAACTCAATTGTGATTCTACTCTAATAAGTAGCTTACCAAATTTACCCGATCCTTTAACGACACTCTAT